GAGCTCCATTGGTCACTTCAATCTATCCTAACTCTCTCGATATTAGGTATCTCAACTTAAAAAACGAATAACTCTTGCAAGCTCTTACAAATATAAATTATAGCATTAAAACAGTGAACAAATGAACATTTAACCTGGAAAATAAAAACCACTCATTCAAAACAAAATATAAGCATCCATAGCAAACCTTAGCCAAATAAGTTAGTTCATGGCTAGGCTAAGTTCATCTGTCATCAACATTTGTTTAGTACAAACCCACATAGGCAATAAAAATGAAAAGCACAAAGGAAGAATAAGACTCCCAAACATGAGCTATCGTCGTGAGCTGGAAACGCTGCCTTGAACTGCCTTAGCAAGTTTAGCTCCACTCGAAGACCCAACTGATATCCTCTTGAGCTCGGCTATGGAGGACACCACAAAAAGGAAGGAAAAGGAAGAAAAATAGAATATGTGAGCAATCGCCTTTCTCTTCTCTCTTAGGTCACTCTTTCCCCAAAAGCTCTATTCATTTAAGGTATCCTTGCTATTTATACTAGGGAATATTTTAGGGTTTTGTATCCTAAAATTCTATTTGCACCCTATGATTTCACACCCTTCACGTGAGGAATGGAGTATGCAGGCATGGTTCCAAAAATGACAGATCAACAATGGCATTAATGTGTAGTTCGACAGCATGGCAGCAAAATATCTTTCTTATTTTTTTTCCATGCCCATGATTGTTGTCCAAAATGCAATAGCAATTTTTCATCTTTATCAGCTTCAGTTGTCCACCAAATTCCTCATCCAAAATGCTACAACAAATCACTATCTCCTTTAGCTTTCATCTTCTGCACCTCATCATCAAAACCAAGACCTTTCCCCTTAAGCAGCATCAGTTTCAGAAATATAGTGTTGCAGTAAAACATTACCACTACATGCAATGACATAAGCCTAAATTTAACTATATGCAATGAAATGGGCTTTTAAATAACCAATAACCTAAGTAAAAATACACAAAATATAGCCTTTTTATGGGGTTATCAATTATACTATCGGGAAATTTATCGGATTCAGCTTTCTTTGATGCTCAAAGGAACTGCTATTAATATCCTCTAGCAAGATTTTATGCATACAAAATGTTGGGATAATGCCTTTAATATATGTGATGATCCAAGCAATTGCTTGCTTATGCCGCTTTAGAATAGCTATCAGTTTTTCTTATTGTGATGCAACAATAACTAGCAGGGTTTCATTATCACCAAGGAACACATATTTTAGATGTCCGAGCAAAGGTTTTAATTCAAGTATGGGTGGCTCCTCAACGGATAATTTAGGAGCTTGAATATGTCGGTCAGGAAGTTTTAGAGACTCAAAGTATTGCGTTTAATTGCTTTCAGCTTCCTCGACTTCTTCTAACTCATTAATTGCCATGTCATTACTAGTAACAATATCCATGCTACAACATTCATCCCAATGCTTCTATGCGAAAACATCAATTACATCAACTGAGTAGCATTCAACACTATCATTAACATAAGAAACATTATACAAAACTTTAAAAGTAATGTGTTCATAATTCAAACGCATAGTAAGTTCCCCTTTTTCCACATCGATCAATGCTCAGACGGTAGCAAGAAATTGGTGACCAAGAGTAATAGGGACATCCTTTTCAGCTTCGTAATCCAATATTATGAAGTCAATGGGGAAAAATAAATTTATCAACTCACACAAGCATGTTCTCTATAATACCGCTTAGACGTACGACAGATCGATCAATGAGCTGCAAAGTGACGATTGTAGTCCTTGCTTCTCCACTATCTAGTTTTATAAAAATTGAAAATGGCATTAGATTAATGCCAGAACTCAAATCAAATAAAAGCTTTACCTATAAATAGGTCACCAATAATACAAGGAATAATGAAACTCCCTGGATCTTTTAGTTTTGGTGGTAATCAACTTGGAACCATAACACTGCATCCCTCAATGAGTACAATAGTCTCGAATTCGCCAAACCTTCTTTTCTTGGAGAGAATTTCCTCCATAAACTTGATGTAGTTTGAGTTTTGGGGTTTAGGCATAAATCAATGGGATATTGATTATTAATTCTTTAAGCACATCTATAAATGCTTTGAACTTTTGGTCCTCATTGGTCTTCTTAAATATTTGAGGAAACAGTGGTGGAGGTCTTGGATTCTGCTACATTGGCAATGCTAGTGGAATTATAGGCAGTGTTGTCGTCATTGTTACTGGCACTATCCTAGAATCACTACTCTGTCCTGCATCATTTGGAGCGACAATACTAGCTGGTTCAAGGTCCACTACTGTTTCTTTTCCTTTATTTTGCTGTCCAAGACTATCATCATCCTTCTTCTTAGGCTCCTTAGTAGGCTTCCTAATATCAAGACCACTTCTTGTAGTGATGGCTTTACAATGCTCATTGCAATGAGCTTTCCTATGATCTTTTAAAACTTTAGTGTCACTGGGTAGCGTTCCTTATCGTCTGCTGCTAAGCGCATTAGCTAGTTGTCCAACTTGATTCTCCAATGCTCTCAGCGATGCTGACTGGATTTGGATCACAACTTCATTTTTTGAGATGTACTCTTTCAGTAGATACTTAAGCGATGTCGATGTTGAAGTTGAGGCTTGATTGGAAAACTACCCTTAATATACTTGTTGGTTATTACGTTGTAGCTATACCATTATCTAATGGTGCGCCTACTGCAGCATCGGTTGTTGTTGAGTATATTGTTACTATGAAAAAATGATGTTGTGTATTTCCAAAATTTGATTTCAATGCTATATTGGGGTTGGCTACATTCTGACTCCTCCAAGAAAGTTAGGATGACTTCAGAAGTTTGGGTTGTAGGTGTTCCCATAAGCATTGACATTGTAATTCCTTTTGTAATTTCTTACAAAAAATAAAGACTCAGGGTTTTGTAGACATTCCATAAAATTGTGGTTATCACCGCAATAAACATAATTGGCAACCTACCTCCCAACTTTTGCATGCTCTTCATTAATTCAACCAATGTTGTCACCTAGGTGGTCAGTGTGTTCAAAGAATCATTGTTCACTGCTGTAGCAACGTGTTTGTCAAACATGTTCCTCATATTTGGGTATTTGTAGTCATTGTTTGATATTCTTTCCAAAATATCATATGACTCATTATATGTGTTATCCATCAATGCTCCGTTTGCTAAAGCATTAACCACCATTCGATTGTGTGTGTTCAACCCATTGTAGAACATTTCCATTTGCGTGTGATAACTCTTCAAAAGAGTTATCTTTAGTAGCCTTTTTCTCCGAGGTTTAGCTTGAACTTGTGCATGTTTAGGAGCATTTTAGAATTAATTTTTTTAATGTTACATATTTTGCATGGTAGGAGCATCGTGGGTTGCTAAGGGTTAAAATTGATTTTTGCTGCTGAAAACCGTTGCACTTATGTTGTAGCACTGCAGGAAATACTGATTGGATGTTGTAGCAGTCATCTAAGCTCCAGACGGTTGGGAGAACCTTTTGGATTGGAACAGCTGGCTCGAGTAGCTATCATTTGGATGGATAACACCTAAAAGGTGGACCTTTTCTATTGGGCGATAAAATTATCATCCAAACTATAAAAAGGTAGTACTTGGCTTCAAAAAGTGTGACGATTGGGAGAGATCCAAAGTAACATTTTCCACGTTAATTCTTTCCAAGCCATTGAAGCCTAAGTCATCTGCCAATGATTGATGTAGCATAAGGGAATCTTGCTGAGGAGCTTCAACGGTCAGCGGGTAACTAATCAATGCCTTTTATTGAGAGAGTGAGCGATTTGAGTGTTTAAACTTTTGTTGGATGTTTATTATGAATTTTCTTATTTCGTTTTTACTTGGATACTTAGTTTATGAGCTTTGAATTTCATGATTGTGAGTAGAAATATTTTTCATTATATATATATAGTATTTTCATTTAAATCTAGAAATAGCTTCATTCGAATTGCTATATACATCTGTGAGCATTGGTGTTGCTGAGTAGCATAGGTATACAGAAAAGTGTGCAACCAATTGATTAGTATTTTTAATAGTTTGAGACTTTAATTAATTAAAGTTATTAAAGTAGTTCAAATGGTTGTAATCAATGCTGATCACATATACTAAGTGTGCATTTTTTGCATAAAATTTGGAAGTCATAATATTATATCTTTTGATTCGATAGCTGATCAATTGCTTTCCAGAATGTTGTAGCATGAACTGGTATCTTTAGTTATTGATTTATTACTTTCTTTCTAGCATCTCGAATCTTTGATAAATCTTACTATTGAAAACTCTAATGAAAACACTTTGCTCCATATGGGTTCGACATCCATAGAATTAATTGTTACCCCTTTATTACTTGAGTGATACATATACTTGCGTTAAATGCTACAACATCTTACGTAGCATCAAGTTTTTGGCGTCGTTATCGGGGAACATCGGTCTGATTTAGAGTTCTTTGCATTTTGTCTTACTTGTTTGTTTTCTTGTTTAGGTATTCTTAGTTTATGTTTTTACTAGTATATACCCCAAAGTGATGATAACTGATCGTTTAATCCAGATATTGAATGAACATTTCAGAGATGTCATTGTGAAGCTGCTATGGCTGGACGAGGGAATGGTATTTTGCCCCCACTACAAAATGGATAACATGAGGAGTTTCCAGTTGGTATCGAAGTTAGGCAACCATATCAGAATGTTGATGATCGTAATCATACTATTTGTGAGCATGTGGTACCGACATTAGATGATATACTACAATCTGTGGGATAGTATGGAGGTTCTGTTACTGAAGAACCAATAGAACATTTGATAGCTTTTATAGAGGTTTGCGATTCTTTTATTCAACAAGGTGTTCCAAATGTGACACTGAAGCTGAAGCTATTTCCCTATTCATTGTGTAATAAAGCACATGTTTGATTGAGTTCACTGTCACCAGGTACTATACCATTCTGGAATGAATTAGTATAGAAGTTTTTGTTACGATTCAACCCGTCAAATATGAATACTAAGCTTCGAAATGATTTAACTTCATTCAAGTAGATAAATGATGAAATCTATTATAAAGCATGAGAAAGATTTAAAGATTTTCTGTGGAAATGTCCTATGCATGGATTCCTACATTGGACTCAAATGGAGATGTTTTATAATGGGTTAAATATTTAAACTCGAATGATGGTTAATGCCTTAGCAAATAGAGCTTTGCTGGATAAGACATATAATGAAGCATATGATATCCTCAAGAGAATCTCTACCAATGATTGTCAATATCCTAATACGTGCAATACGTTTGGTCGGTATGGTGTTGTAGCAGTAGATTCTGAAACTATTAACTCTATGGCATCTTAGATTTCAGAATCACACAAACCTAGAGGAATGTACGAATTTAAAGTTGCATCTTGTATCACTTGCGTATATTGTGGCGATGACCATAATTTTGATGAATGCCCCCAAAATTCAGAGTCTATCTACTATGTGCACAATAATCCAAGGAATGATAATGTTTTTGGCAATACTTACAATCCAAATTTTAAGAACCATTCCAATCTTTCTTGGAGAAGTTAGAATATTGCCAATCCACAACATCGACAATATCAATCGCAACATTACACCTAACAGAGTCAAATGCTATAGCCACAGACACAACAATATGTTGCTTAGCAAAGGCAGAATTACCAAGTTCAATCTTTATCCCAAACTTCAACCTTGAAACCTTTTGAAGCTATGATGAAAGAATATATGGCGAGCCAGTCTACCTCATTAAGGGCTATAGAGAATCAGATAGGACAAATGGCTAATTCTTTAAATAGTAAATTGTTAGGATTGCTCCCTAACGACACTGAGAATCCTAAACAAAATGGTAAAGAGCATTACAATGCGATTACCACCAGAAGTGGAATTCATACTGGGGAACTAGTTGAAGAATCGAGGAGAAAGAATGAGGAAGCTCATCAACATGGAAAAAGAAAGAAAAAAAGTTGAGGTTGAACCGTATGAGAGTCAATTCACAACAACAAATGAGAGGTAGAGTATTAATTCAGAATTGTTACCGACAGTAACCCTAGCTGCATCTAATACAGAGTTAACTTCATTGCCTCAGCAACAACAAAAACACTACATCTACCATTTCTACAGTGCTTCAAGAAGACAAATGAAGATCAGTAATACAAAGCCTTTATTGATGTTCTTCGCCAACTCATAATTAACATTCCGTTGATTGATGCTTTAGAACAAAACCTGAACTATATCAAATTCATGAAGGAAGTTCTTTAAAAGAAATGGAGACTTGGTGAATTTGAAACAGTTGCTCTTATCGAAGGCTGTAGCTCTATGGCTATAAGTCAATTGCCACCGAAGCTTAAGGACCTAGGGAGTTTCATTATTCCTTGCAACATTGGTGACAAATTTGTAAGTAAAGCTTTATGTGATTTGGGTGCTAGCATAAATTTCATGCCATTAGGGGTGTGCAAATCCGGGTACCCAGAACTTCCAGGTCGACGATTTCTCGGCCTATGTCCAGACCCGGATGTTACCGGGTACCCAGATTTTGCGGTACCCAATTTTTTATTTTTAATTTTCAAATTATTAATTTAAAAAAATACACAAATTTAAATGTTTGAAACTTCGAATTACATACAATAATATCCGAACATAAAATTTGAAAGTTCGAAATACAAAATCTAATAATCCATAATATAAATAATTCATTATATTATATATATATAATAAAATAAAAACTAACGGAGTACTCGGGTACCCGGAAAAACTAGATTTTGTGACCCAGGCCCGACCCGGGAAATGTCGGGTTGGGTAATTTTTTTAGAAAATTACATGATTTTTTTAGGTTCGGGTCGACGGGTCGGCTGGTCGGGTCAACTGGGTCGGGTAGTTTTGGACACCCCTACATGCCATTGTCAAATTTTAGGAAATTTGAAAGCGGAGAAGCAAGGCCCACAACGGGTACTTTGCAACTTGCTTACCGCTATACTTGAATTTTAAATTCATTGCTATGAATTTTAAATTCATTTCTATGAATTTTAAATTCATACATATGTACTATATTAGTAATATTTTCTCACTAAGTATAATATAGTATAATAATGGATATTTTTATATAGAATAATTATATTTTTATGCGTGTTATATATGTAAGTGCATAATTTGATGCACATAACTCTAAGTTTAATTTTAATTAATTCGTATGATACCCTCATAAGCACTACTTGAATCGAAATAATTTAACTAAGGGTAATATTAGTTCATTTTAAGATTGTTGTGAAGTGATTGTCTTAACGTTTAAAAAAGTTACTTTTGATAATTTTAAAATGAAAGTGTATCCCATTAAGTAAAAACATAAAATTTGACTATACTTAAAAATTGGGAATGAGAGAAAAATAAGTGTTCATCTATTTAAATTCATCGAGAAAAGATCATTAGAACTTATAAAAAGTTCGATCTCGAAGTCTTTAAATAATCGAACATCCTTCTTCTTTTTTAAAAGGATTGGTAATTTGTATTTAATTAATTTTTAGTTTTTATCATCAATTGAATGTGGAATTAATAACGGATTTTAAAATGGAATTGTAATATTTCTTTATTTCGATTGGAGTAAGAAATGATTGCTTTAAGGCATGAGAGATATTTTTTCTCGATAGGAAATAATTAAATATTATTGTGTTTTGTTATAAAATTCAAAGACTATTATTTGTATGGGATATTGAATTAAATTAAACTTGAATTCGTAAATTTCATGGCAAATACAACTAATTGATCGACTAGGTACCGATTTAGGGCGCTATCGGGGTGCTAATCCTTCCCCACGCGTAACTAACTCCTAAATTCAAATTTTTTGTAATGCATACTGTAATTTTTTTATTTAATTAAAATTAATATTTTTATTTAAATGACAAATATGTTTTTGGGTGCCCAATCACACCCTAATCAAAGATTGGTGGCGACTCCTTGAACCATTTTTATTTTTTATTTTAAAAAGGAAACACCAAATTATTTGAAATGAGATTTTTTAAATAACTTAAAAAATAAATTTGTTTTTTAAGAAATAATTTCGACAATTTGGCGACTCCACTAGGGACCATATTTTAGAGAGTCAAGCCGTTAGTCAATTAATTAATTGTCTTTGGAATGAAAATTACAAGTTCATTCTAATTTAGTTTTTGATCCATTTTTTGGTTTAAATAAATTTTATGTTTATAATTTCATTAACCACTAAATAGTTGTACTGATTTGTTTGTTGATATTTTTAAATTAAATAAATGTTCAAGAATTTGAGAACCCTATTTTGTGTTGTTTGTATCATTTTCCTCACGCACTACACAGCTACATTTGCATAACAAGAGCTAAAATATCGCTCCGTCCAATTTAAGTAGGAGTGAGAAACTACTCCCTCGTATGGTTTTCACCTCTGTAAGGGATAGTGGAACGCTTCTAGGGCTCACGCATTCTGGTCCTCATGATGGTTTTCACCTCCGTATGGACATAAGAAGGTGTGTCCCCTCGAATTGAACTTGATCTGAAAGCCTGTGATGGGTCAAGATTGTCTAGCAGCCCAAGGGGGCACCGTCAATGATAGTTCCTGAACCCTTTTACTTTAGGGCCAAACCCAACATATAGTGAACCTAGAACCCAAACCTAGGTAGAGCCTAACCCAAATTTAAGAATCCCATGAGGAGAGTACACAAGGAAAAACTCTTTTGAGTCTTTTAATTTTTTTAGTTTTGTTTTGTTTTTTTGAATAAATGTATGAGAAATCATGCGGTTAGGTTCATTTTTTTCAAACAAGCATGTGAACTAGATGACATAAGGTTAAGATTTATATGTTTAACAAAGCCTGGGGATTGAAAACATGTCTGGTTAGAACTGTTATAAAAGCATGTCTGGGTATATACCGTGTTGGGTAGGATTTTTTCTTTTCATAAATATTTTTTCTGTTTTTTTGTTAAGTGGTATTAACAATTTACTTTGTTTTATCTTAATTTTCTCTATCTTTAGTTTGCATTTGCATTTTCACATCATAACCAAACAAGGTGTTAATTCTCAAGTGATTGACCAAATTAGAAGATTTTAATATCGACATAAGAGTTCCATTACTAGGTAATCAATTTCGTAAGGGTGATGACTTACAAACAAAGTTGATCGACTAGAGAAAAGCTCAAAGTTGATCAAAGACTCCTATTAAAAGAACAAAGATCGATATTGTACCAAATAGTCAGATGCAAGTTGAGTCAAGAATGTGAAGATCCTTCACGAGATATCAAGGTCGCTTTCCTCTTGGAGAATTGTACGAAAATGGAGGTCTAGAGAACCAACAATCACAGTAGGTGAATTAAAATGAAGATGGGCAAATCAACACTTTGAGAAGTCCAACAACGACTATAAAAACAACATCAAATCATGAGAAAGGCCTAGATCAAGTAAATGAAGAAAATGAAGCTCGTCTGTCTAGTGTAAGGAAAACTTATGGTCTGATGAAGGTTGTTCTATAGTGGCCGCTTTTGGAATTAACCTTCTGAATTTGCATTTGCCTTCTTCATTTGTATTAGCTTATTAATTTATTTTGTTATTATTGCTTTTATAATAATTCTTGTCATTTTGTTATCTTATTTGTACTAACTTATTTTTATGTTGTTTTTCTACTTGCTTGCATCGCATGATCATGACATAATCAAAATGTGTTGATTTGTGAGTGGTCATCAGAATAAAAGGTTTTCATGATGGAAAAAGGGTTTCATGATCAAGTAGACTATAACAAAGCTAGGGAATGACATCTTGAGGAAGCTCTGAGAATAGTGGGGAGCTATGCATCCAAAGATCGTATGTTCGACGAAGAGAAAAAAGAGGTAAGAAAGATGAGAGAGAAAATGTCCAAGATGATGGATAGAATAATTGCTTTAGCCAAAGGAAAAGATAATTCTACAAAAGAAAGGAAAAAGCTCGAGGAAAATAATCTCGCGATGTCAAATACACAAGGGACTACTTTAGAACAAGTTGATTCTAGCCAATCTGAGAAAACATGTACAATCATCATTCGTATCAACAAGTTGTCTAGAGACACCAAGGAAATAGTGACAACTATAGAAGTTCAGAATTATGAAAAGAA